AACAACCATTTTTTGCAGACATGGAAAAGCAGATCCTCTAATTCATATAGGAATTACAAGGGGCCTCAACTAGCCAAAAAAAAATTAAAAAAAATATATATATATATGAAAAGCAACATAAAGCTGGAGGACATGACATCCTAACTTTGAAACTTACTACAAATGTAAACAAAGCAGTGTGATATTGGCATAAGGGCAGACACATAGACCTATGGAACAGAACAGAGAACCCAGAAATAAACCCATACACATTTCAATTGATTTTTGACAAGGATAAAAGGGGAGAAAGGTCAATCCTTTCAACAAATGGTACTGGGAAAACTGGATATCCACATTCAAGTGATGAAGTTGGGCTCTTAACTTACATCACATATAAAGTTATACCATATATAAAAATTTCCATATTTGGAAATAGATGAAAGACCTAAGCTTAAGAGCTAACATTATAAAATTCTTAGGAAAAAAAAATGAGGAATATCTTCATGACACTGGAATTGGCAACTATATCATGGATACAACACCAAAAACACAGGCAACAAAAGAAAAAATAAATATATTGGATTTTATCAAAGTTAAAAACTTGTGTGCCTCCAAGGACACTATGAAGAAAGTAAAAAGTCAACTTAAAGAATAAAAGAAAACATTTGCAAATCATATATTTGACAAGGGATTGATATCCTGAATATATAAAGAACCCCTACAATTTAACAATAACAACAAAACAACAAAAACCCATCAAAACATGGGCAAAGGACCTAAACAGACATTTCTCCAAAGATATCTAAAAGGCCAACTGGTACATGGCAAGATGCTCGACATCACTTGCATTAAGAAAATGCAAGTAAAACCACAAAAAGATACTACTTCATATGTGTTAGAATAGCCATCACCAAAAAGATCAAAGGTTAACAAATGCTGGTGTAGATGTGGAGAAAGGGGAACCTGTGTGCATTGTGGGTGGGAATGTAAACTGTTGTAGTTGAAAATAGTATGGAGGAGCCTCAAAAAATTAAAAATAGAACTACCATATGATCCACTTCTGGGAATATATCCAAAGGAAATGAAAACACTAACTTGAAAAGACATCTGCACCCTCATGTTCACTGCAGCATTATTTATAATAGCCAAGACATGGAAACAGCCTAAATGTCCATCAATGGATGGATGGATAAAGAAGTTGTGGAATATCATTCATCCATAAAAAACAAGGAAATCCTACCATTTGCTACAACACAGATGAATCTTAAAGGCATTATGCTAAGTGAAATAAGTCAGACAAAGAAAGACAAATAATGTGTGATTTCAACTTATCTGCAGAATCTAAAAAAAAACAAAACTCAGAGAGATTTGTGGTCCCCAGAGGCAAAGGGTTGGGGGAGCAGGAATTAGAGGTGGTCAAAAGGAACAAACTTACAGTTAGTTATAAGATAAGTAAGTCCTAAGGACATGAAGTACAATGTGATGACTGTAGCTCACACTACCACATGATACACAAGAAAGGTATTGAGAGTAGGTCCTAGGAGTTCTCATCACAAGAACATTTTTTTCCTTCTTTTATATTTATTGTATTTTTATGGGAAGATGGATGTTAGCTAAACTTATTGTGATAATCACTTCACAATATATATAAATCAAACCATCACGGTGTCACACCTTAAACTTATATATTCATATATGTCAATTATTTCTCAATAAATCTCAGGGGGAAAACCAGCAAAAAGAGGGTAGGGGAAGTCACAATGAGATACCACTTCCTACCCACTAGTATAACTATTAAAGAAAAAAGGAAAATGATGATGATTGGCAAGGATGTGGAGAAACTGGAATGCTAACACACTGCTGGTGGAAATGTAAAATGGCACAGCCACTGTGGAAAATAGTTTAGTGATTCCTCAAAAAGCTAAACATAAAACTACCACATGACCCAGTGATTCCACTCTTAGGTACAGACCCAAAGGAACTGAAAGCAGAGACTGGAATAGATATCTGTACACCTGTTCAGATAGCATTATTCACAATAACCTAAAGGAAACAAGAACACCATACACAGAACACCATTCTACTTTAAAGGAGTGACATTTCAACACATGCTGCAACATGGATGGGCCCTGAAAGCATTAGACTAAGGGAAATAAACAGACATAGAAAGCCAAATAACAAGATTCCATTTATAAGGTACCTGGAATAGGCAAAGTCAAAGAATCAGAAAGCAGAATAAAGGCTGCTGAGGGTGCAGGAGGAGGGGCGAGGAGGGAAGGGGGAGTTCTGGTTTAATGGGTACAGAAATTATGTTGGGGATGCTGAAAAAGTTTTAGGCAGAGACAATGGTGATGGGTACACAGCTTTGTGAATGTATTTAATGCCAGTGAATTGTATATTTGCAAATGGGTAAAATAATAAATATTATGTCATGCAGATTTTACTACAATCAGAATAATGTGGAGGAAAAAAGTGGGGGGAGGGGGTTATATGAGACAATGAAAAGATAGGAATGAAATAAACCTAAAATGTCAGCAGCTATTCTGAGAAAAGAAATCTCTGGGTGGCTTTCCTCTTTCTTTTAATCATTTTTCTCTAGTTTCCAATTTTCTTTCAATAACTCTTTAGATAGGAAAAAAATAAGTTTTGTTCTTAACAGGCTTCAAGTTTAGGTAGCAAGTTTCTTCACAGCTGGATCAGCATTTACAAAGGATTTACTTCACAGGGGACCATAAAGAAAGGAAATAGTCCCTTAAAATAATTCAAGTTCTCTGTCACAGAGGTGAAAGCTAACATTCTCCTCAACTTGGTCTGGGGTAGGGGGGCTGACCTGCTGCTACAGCCCATCAGGGGCCGTCCTCCTGTATGGGATACCAACCCAGAGGGCATTGAGCAAGGACAGAAGAGAGTTCAAGGAGACAAACTCCCCTGGATGTGTGATAAAGTCCATAATTTGACCTCCAAGCAATAAATTAAAATAGGAATAGCAATTAAAAATGCAAGTGAGAATTTGTCTTAAATTTAACCAATCGAGGGATCCCTGGGTGGCGCAGTGGTTTGGCGCCTGCCTTTGGCCCAGGGCGCGATCCTGGAGACCCGGGATCGAGTCCCACGTCGGGTTCCCGATGCATGGAGCCTGCTTCTCCCTCTGCCTGTGTCTCTGCGCCTCTCTCTCCCTCTCTGTGACTATCATAAATAAATTTAAAAAAAATTTAAAAAAATTTAAAAAAATTTAACCAATCGAAACAGTTCATGTTAATTTGCCCTTAGTAGTATCCCAAGCCCTTCCCAGAAGGTCCTGTTTATATAGCAGATGATACTGACATTGTATTGGGTTTTTATGCAGGAGTCCAAAGGACCTGTTCTCCCCTTTCTGACAAGTAAATAAAACGGCAGGGAGATCAAATAACTCACTAAAAAGAAGATATAATTTTTTATCTTCCTTTTTACAGTCTCATATCCACTTCCGTTGGGAATAACAAAGTCTGAATTCTTATGCAACACTTATCTAAATGTGTCGATTTTATCAGATTGATGAATTTTGCTAACAAAAGGCAGCGCTAGGAAATCTTTTATGACATATTTGGCCCATTCACAGGCCTGGAGCTTTAATTTAACCAACTTGAGAATTCTGAGGGAGAGCTGCAGGTGTTGGATCTGAAAAAAAAAATCATAAATGGGAAGGCATATCAATCTTTATGACGGGGAAACAAAAACACTCTTCTACTTGCTTGCCCTCCACAAGCAGGAGAAGGAGAGGTGGCAGGAGCAGGATATTGTCTCGGGCTGCATAGCAAAGAGGAAGCATCGCTGTCTCCCAGTGACCGCTATTTAGTATTGATCAAAAGGCGCTGGCCCGGGGAGGAAGAGAGGAATTGATAAAACAATGAGGTTTGCCAACACTCTGTGCTCAACAAGGACATTTTCTCATTTTCTTGACCACATCAGAGTTCATCACTCCTGTGACTGCCTGAGCAAGCGGGTGGCTTGCTGCCCCACAGTCCCCATACCCCTCCTGCCCCAAGCTGCCCAGCAGTGCTGCCACCGTTCTGCCCCCACGGACCTGTCCCTCACGGACAGTAAGCAGAGTCAATCACTTGACAGTCCTGTTGCTTCTCCTGTTAAAGGTCTCCCCATGTCTGCCCCCTCTCCCTCCACAGCCCTAATGCAGACCACACTTCTCTCCCTGGGAACACCACCACACTGCCACTCCCTGTCTGTCTTCTGCTCCCCCTGAGTCCTGTCACCATCACCGAGCCATGCTTCCATCTGCCTGCAACCACTCGGGATGGGGGAACCTTTCAGCCACTTCCTTGCACCGACTCTTTAAGGACTCCCTACTTTTTGCGAGACGAAATCATAAATTCGTTGGTGTGAAATACTATGGAGATCCTTGGTGATCTCATCTTTCCCAGTCTCCCCTCCCAACAGCAAAGTCTGCCCACCCATCCAACCAATTTTACAAGCCTCTGTGACAGAAACATCCAGTCATCCACCAAAATCAGTTTCCACCTTTCAGTAACTGAGTTGCAGCTAAGCGGAATGGTGAAAAGTTCCATCTCCTGGCCTCTCCAACACCAAGACATGAGTGACATGAGCAGGCAGGACTGAGTCCTCCCTCCCTCACAGACCCTGTGGGAAGGGTGTGTGGCCCTTCCAGGTCCGGGCATTCCTGACACGCCAGACCCTCCTGTGAACACAGTAGTGACTACATAGACAAGGACACACCCTATAGTGGAAGGGCAGCAAGATGGAGGAAGCCTGAGTTTCTGGATGCTGTGCAGAGCAGAACTCCTCAACTGTTCACATTAGGAAACTACCTAGAAAATCAACTTCTAATTTCATTATGCTTCTGTATTTTTTTGTTCACTTGCAACAGCATCTTAGCCTTTACCCCTGACGTGAACAAGTACCAGGCAAGATCCCACTTACTCGGACCTATGGCTGACACCTGCCTGCCCAATCTGTGTTAATGAAATGAAGCTTATACAAGTGGACACTCCTCTCAATAGCAAACCTACTTGGTGTTCTCCAGGGTCTTCTGCATTTTCTTGGTCATCTTATCAATCACTGCCTGTCTCTTTCCTTCAGCTAAGAGGTCTATTTTGTTCAGCACCACGACCAGCTTCTGGCAGGCGATCTGCCCAATTACAAGGCACTCGGCTGACTGGGTCTGCATCCCTTTGGTCACATCGATGACCAACATCATCAGATCAATGATCTGGGCCCCTGCAAAGAGAGAGCGAAGACAAGGTTAGAAAACAAAATGGGGGAGAAGACTGCAGAAAGTGGCCTGATGTCTGAGGTTAAGCAAAACCAGTCAAATTACAGCATTAAGATAGAAGTGGGTGGGGTGGGAAATGAATGACCACCATATGCCTCCTAGCCCCAGTCATAGGGGAGGGACTCTAAACATGTGATTTCATTGAGTCCCTTATGACCACCATGAGGAATGGGCATGTTACCTCATCTGGAGAGGAGGAAACTGAGGCCCATGAAATACTTAGAGCTCACCCAGGACCCCACAGCCAGCATGCAGCAGGGCTGAGGGACCCCAAAACCCACACCATTTTACTGCTTCTAATCTCTCATTTTCATTCCATCCTACCTAAGAAAAAACATCCAAGCAGTAAAAAGCTTAGTTTTAGACTTGGCAAATGCCTAGAGATTTGGCCTTGCCAAGACAGCTGGCTAAAAGACTGGAAAACTAATGGGGAGGCATGGAGGTTGTCTCCTCTGTGGCTCCTGGGTCTTCTCCTCACAGTAGATGGTTTTAGTCATGATCCTCCCACCCATGACTGCATTGTATCTATTCACTTCTTTTATCCTTTCCATTCTGAATGGGAGGTTCCTGCTCTTTCAGAGAGGGTAGGAGCAATCCAAGGTTCAGCTACCTCAATGCTGAATACCACATGTAAGTATGTGTGTGTGCATGTGTATATATATGCGTGCTGTGCATGTGTGCATTCCAGACATATGTACGCATGCCGAGTTGTGAGTATGCCCTAAATAACAGCCACACCTGGGCTGAACAACAGCAGAGGGACGAATTACAAAGGAGTCAATGAAAGGAAACTGCCCTGATCCATGTTAGGAAAACCAATGTTAGCAATGAAGGGAATGTGTCCTTTTTAACAGGATTTGAAGTAGTTTTACAAAACAACAACAACAAAAGGTGTTATTTTGGGGATATAGGAATATGTAGATTATTTTCCCCTTTGCCCCAGGAGGGATTTTCAGGAGCAATTTATCATCATGGTGAAACCAAGGAAAACTGTTCCATGGGTGACTCATGACCCAAGCTCACTCCTAGGAAGGGAGGGAAGGCAAGGAGGACAGTCTTTTCTGTTGGCACATCTACCATGTGTGCTAGTCAATCACTTCATCTTCACAGCCAATGTTTCAGATGAGGGTGGTACTCAGAGTCACGGGGCTACTTGCTCTAGACCAATTGGCACCAAAGGCCACCAGATACCAAGGAGCCTGGCTCCACTGCTGAAGCATCTTCCCTGGTCACTCCTGACCTGCATAGCTCCCTCTAGCCTTCCCTAGGAAAAACAGTAGGTGCCTCTGACTCTAGGGAGACCTCAAAGTGTCCCAGCCATCCTCCCTGCCCCTTTGCTCTGCCCTCCCCAGCCCCTTCTTCTACTTCACCCTATCTCAGTGGTGGTGGTGTGGTCAAAGGGGCCTGGGGGTAGGAATGGAGGGCTGGCTGGTGCTCACGACAGCCATCACTGGCATCTCCCTCATCTTATCAGGCCTAGGCCTCTACTATAGCCATAAGGCAGGTAGGGATATGCTGGTTCTATCATCTACACTTTTTAAACAACGGAGGCCTAAAAACTTCATCTGATAAGACTCTCTCTCATATCTACCAAATCACCAACTCACCTCTGGCATCCATCTCTGTTGTGGCCCCAAACCCCATGAAGCATGTCAAGCCCACGCCAGCCATTCCCTAATGGGAAAGGGCTTATCCTTCCCCTAGGACTTGTCCTTCTGATATCCAAACAGCCTCCCAGAAAGGAACTTTCTACAACTATAGGACTGATTCATACACTGAGCCAGGTTAAATGAGTACAACCTCTATGAAAGCCAATTTACAACCAGCTATCAGAATTCACATCATCTTTGGCCGAGCCAAGCCCACATACATGTGCATGTTTGTTGTAGGTACAGCTGGAAACCATGTAAGTGTCCATCAGTAGGGAACATGTTAAAAATAAATAATGCTATATCCACAAAGAATACTATCCAGCCATGAAAAAGAACAAAGAAGCTCTTTATATACTACTATGAATAGTCTCCAAGGTGGAGACAATGAGAGGAACAAAGGGCAGAGCAATGTAATATGTGTTAAAAAGGAGGAAAAGGAAAAAAAAAAAAAAGAAGGAAAAGGTGTGTGTGTATGTGTGCTGTATATGAGTGTTTGCTTCCATACCCATAAAACATGTCTGAAGGAGTGCAAAAGAAACAACTTTTGGTTGTCTGTTGGGAAAGAAGCTAGGTGACAGATACGAGATGGAGTAAGAAGGAAACCTAACTGTATGTTCTATACCTTTTTTTTTTTAAGATGTATTTATTTACTTGAGAGAGAATACTCATGCACATGAGTAGGGAGGGGCAGAAGGAGAGAGAATCTCAAGCAGACTCCCCACTAAGCCCACAGCCTGACATGGGGCTCAATCTCCAGACCCTGAGATCATGATCTGAACTAAGAGCCAGACACCTAACCAACTAAGCCACTCAGGTACCCCTCTTCCATACCTTTTCATTTTATTTTATTTTATTTTATTTTATTTTATTTTTTTACCTTTTCATTTTAAACAGGGGTGTGTACTATTCACTAAATAAAATTATGTTAAATACATAAATAGAAAAAGAAATAAAACACTGATCTGACAGTGTTGTTCTCCTGCTAAGAACCCTTGCTGTCCTCTGACTGAAAGGGAACTCCGTGGTATGGCTTTGGGCCCTCCTTCTAACTTGCAATCCAGCCACACTCCCCTGCACAGAGCCCTTCTCAGTGCTCCCCGCCCTGCCCGAGGGGCATATGCATGCACCCAAGAATGCACACACACAGAGTCTGAGCCTATCCCACTCCAGAAGATGTGACCTCTCCCCAAGTCCTCCCATCACAAGCAAACCTGCCACCAGTCCCAGGGATACAGTGTGGCCAGGTGTTGAGGCAGGATGGGACAAAGCCTAAAGGTGAGTGGGAGGAGGCGTGTGCTGGGTTCCCAGCCTGTGAGCCATTCTCTGAGAAGACTGGAAAGCCACCTTCACACAAAATGGTCCCAGCACCCGACTAGGTGACCCTCAACTCTAGAGGGCAAAGCTGTGCCCACAAACCCAAGCCTACTCTATCCCACGGATGACTTAAGGACTTTTCAAGAATAATTCCAACTGCCTGGGCTCCTTCTAGAATCTAAACATTATCCCTTACCTAACCTGAACGATCACCAACCCCACTGTACAGATGAGAAGTTCGGTGGCTGCCCTCGTCACTTGGTAAATAGGGTGCTAGAGAGGGAACCCTGGCGCCTGTTCTCACCTATGTGCCACAGGGCCTGTCCTTTTGCCAGGGGCACCCAGTCCCACTCCGGCCTCCTGTCCCACAGTCCTCACCCACTTCTTGCTTTACACTAAGAATCAAGGCACATCCCATGATTATTCTTACCCTTCCCTGCTCTGCTCTTGCTCCTGCCCCTGTACTCAAGACTTCACTCACCCCTGGCCCTTGGTCCCTGCCCACCCCAAAGCTCAGAGCTTACAGACCACAGCCTGGGCTGAATATCTGGATTCATAGCACCCAGCACAGGACCCAGCTCAGGCACAGCTTGGGCAATCTTTGTTGGAATGAACTGAGCAAATGACAGGTCCCCCCCTCCTGATTCCGTTCCTTTTCAGAGATTCAATTCCCTATTGGTATGTAAAACTACCCAGAAATGTCTTGTCTGGGCCTGGTGGCTAGAGGGGAAGGACTCCCATATTCATTCCATGCATTTAGAACATCTCACTTATGATGCCTGTTGGGATCCTGGGGATAGAAATGAAATTGGCCGGACAGACCCAGGAAGACAAGTGCAGATGGGATCCAAACACTGGAGCCAGTCAGGATTTCCTCTATAGTCTTACTCCAGCAGCTATAAGTCCCCTTTGTTGTGAGGAGCACACAGCTCTGCTCCAAGAGGCCAGGCTCTGGAGCAGCCCAGCTGCAGTGCAGCCAACAACAGGCACTTCTAAGGAGAGTAGAGGTCACAGCGACTTGACAGGCCCCACTGAGAACCCACAGCCCAGCAGCAGCTCTCAGTTACTCCCATTTCTTCATCAAACTTTTGATCAGACGACAGGAAGTGACATAACTAGCCCGTCTTGTCTTTTTCAAAATCCCCAGTATTTCCACAAAATGAATCAAACAGTGTCCTTCCCAATTCCCACGAACCCAGAGTAGGAAACCATTCTGAGACGAGAGGGGCACAGCAAGCGAGTGGGCGGGAAACACCAGTCAGGAAGTTGGAGCTTACAAATGACCCTCTATATTTTTCAGTATATCAGAGCCTCTCATCTACTCGTTCTGACTATAGATCCCTTTAAAAGTTTGCAGAATAATTATAACAGGGTTAAAGTTTCTCAGTACTTTAAAAAGTTACAATTTCCAATTCTGTAGATTATATATCTTAATCACTTCAAAAATAAAAATAAAGAAAAACTTACAAAGGTCAGCATTTAACAAAGTGTAAGTTATCTGTCAGATGTAATTTTCCTTCTGGGACTGAAGAACAAAAATGTGTGTTTAGGAAAAAAAAATGTTTCAGCTGGAGAAACTGAACATAAAATTTTAAACATTTTAGCAACCTCAAAATCAGATCTTTAATCAAAATTCAAATTTTTAATCAAAAGCTATGAGCACCCTAAAAAGGAGAAAATACTACCAAGTTAAAAAAAATTTTAATGTATTTTTAACTGGTGACTTATTAAATATTCAATAAACAATTTAAATACATTGTCATCCACAATATAAAACTGGGGACCCCTGGGTGGCTCAGCAGTTGGGCGCCTGCCTTCGGCCTAGGGCATGATCCTGGGGTCCCAGGACTGAGTCCCACGTAGTAGGGCTCCCTGCAGGGAGCCTGCTTCTCTCTCTGCCTATGTTTCTGCCTCTCTGTGTGTCTCTCATGAATAAATAAATAAAATCTTTAAAAAATATATAAAACTGTACTGGCCAC